GGTGTTGGTGTTGGTGTTGTTGGTGTTGTTGTTGTTGGTACAGACAAAAACAGCAGCCCGCAGCTTATGCTAATTTCGAACCTTTGAGAATGCTTCCGGCGACCGCAAAGCGTGCCTGTAGAGTTCTGGGGAATGCAAGCTAAATGCCTACACAACATGAAGGGCGATATGCACAGAGTTCTGCCCCTCAGAGGCTGCTAGCAGCGCATGTTCTCACTGCACAGCATGCATGGACGGTAAAGAGGGCCGTTTCTGCGCGTTCACACTTCGGGTTCCCCATGTTAATATCAGTCTTGCAGCTAGGGCTTTACGGATTCGCATTGTTCTGAGGATCTGGGCATTTAAGGATCCTTTAAAGGAGCCTTCAGTGAAATTCTGAAGGCCAGCAACCTTGATCCCAAGCCCGTCACCTGAAGCCACGAGAATGGTCTTGGAGTCTTAACGTTTCTTTCAGGGTTTATGGGTTTGGGGTTGTGACGGAGCGTTCAGGATAGAAGGATCTGGGGTTTGGAGTGAAGGGGTTCAGGGATTCTGCGTTCGGGTTTAGTAGCTCCCTACATGCCCACAATCCAGCTTTGCAAGGACCCTCCCCCCTCCAAAATTCAAAGGAAGAAGTCCGATGCCCGAGGCCGGCAAGACCAGTACTCTGAACATGCTGACGGGTGCCGTCCTCCCCTCCGCTGGCTCTGCATTCCTTGGAGGCTTTGACGTCGTTCAGGAGCAGAGGAAGGTGGGCGAAGGGGACCCTTCTAACTCGGGGCAACAGCAAACCGCCATGATGTGACTATGAACTAGATCTTGGAAAAAGTTTTTCCTCAAGCTTAGATTAGGCTCCTTGTCAAGAACTCAGACAACCCATGAAAAAGCCCTATAACGACTCACCTTACTAGCCCTTCGGCCCAAAATGCCATCAGAAGCCCAATTCATAGAACCCGTACTAGGAGTTTGGAGATTCCCCCAAAAAACAACACCATGCAAGACCCTGAACTCTAATCCGTAAACCCTAACCTTTGAAGGTCCGGCGATTGCTGGGCTTCTGCCCGCAACACGACGCACTCCTCGACCGGCTGACGGTGGGCATCGCACGTTCAGGGCTTGCGGTTAGCACCCTACGCTTGCCGAGATTAGGGCTTTGATTGGCAACTCATGAGTGTGTGTGTGTGTATATATATATGTACACATACAGGGAAAGCTCTTGCATTGATGCATGCACGTGTGTTCGTAAGGCTTTGTTTCGTTTACGTAGGTCAGACCAAGGGGTTGCAGGGATCCCGAGCGCCATGGGTCCGACAAACTGCAGAAGCCTTTACCCGACATCCGAAAGGTTCGGGAGCACTTGGAGCTTTTTGGTCGCATCAAGGGCATTCCGAACCATGTGCCCTGGCAAGATTGGGGGGAGTTTGGGGCTTTTGGGGCTCGGCCTGAGGGACTCTCCTTGCGACCTGCGGCCTTCACCAAGGCGATCAAGGAGCTTTGCGATCAGATGATGCAGGACCTGAAGCCCTCAACACCCCCTGAAGCCCTAAACCCTGCACCCTTCGTGGAGTGCTCCTGGGACCTGAACCGGAAACTCGATCTTCGGTTGTCCGCGAGGCGGAGTTTCGGAAAGCAGGTGCGTGCTTGACCCGTGAGTTCGAATTTAGGCTGTGGGGTCTTGAGGTCATCTTTTGCTTAGGTACCACTGGACCAGCTAAACATAGACTGTGGAAACCTACCTTGGTAGGGATAGTCCCTTAATGTGTCTATGTTTAGCAGTCCTGGACCAGGGCTCCCTGAGGCTTTTGTAACCTGACAACTGCAATGAAACAGGGCTTAAGTTGCTTTCGGTTTAGCTTTCAGAGCTTTAGGCTTCGTTTTTCTTTTTTTTGTCTTTGGGGAGCTTCGGGCTTTACGGACTTGGATTTCAGGGCTGTAGTGGTTTAGGGTTGGAGGGATTTGGGGCTTAGGTTTTTTTTGCAGTAGCGCCCCTGCAGCAAGCCTCCACGGGTAGCCTTTGGTTCTACGCGAGATTTGTACATTCCGGGCTTGCGGGTTTCGGTTTGTGGATTATGTTCCTGGAAGCAGCACCAATATAGTATGCACTAGTGTCGAGGAACTGCTTTTAGTCCCTGAATTCAAAACTTGCCCAATCCTTGTTATGGCCAGAAGCGGCTCCACGCTCTTGACCAGCTCTTAGCCGAAATTGCAGACCCTCAGGCGATCTCCTTCTCAATGCACTAGACGTGTGTCGGGTTTCAGGGATTATCTACACAATCTATACAAGCTTCACATCATGGTTTGGGATTGTGGGGTTCAGAGCCGACCCGGGCAACAGGACCTTTCCCTCTCTCCGCATGTGGACAAGCTGGCCATGACGCTGAGTGGGGGGAACAAGCGCATCTGGGCTGAGTTCGGGAATCTCTTGCGCAAACTTGACCCTAACAAACCCTAGACCCTGAACCCGAAACCCTAACAAACCGTACCGTAAACTGCAATCAACTTCGACCCTATTTGACACCTACTTCGGTTTCGCGCTGTGGGTGGGGATTGAAGCTCGAGCCTGCAGGGCTTTACGGTGGTAGGATAGA